AGGCCCAGCAAATAGCCCCATCGGTCCCRTTTTAGCAATCTGGAGAAGCGAAGGCTGAAGAGGTCAGGTAGTGACGTGAGGTCCTGCAGGAGTTCACGGGTAACATCAGCATTTTGTCCCAGGCTGGGTGAGCAGAYTCAGTTCTTTACAATAAAACCATTCTTCTGTCCCTTTGTCTGTCCTTGGGGTATGTATAGGAATCCGGTGCCACCTTTTCAAAGCTGCTCTCCCTGGCTGTGTGGACAGTTATTAAAAAGAGGATGTTAGATGGGCAGACCAGTGTCAACATGATGTTTTGGAAACCAGGTATTAAGACTGGACTGAAATATACCACTAGATGGGCAAGTGAAAGGGGGAATGTGCCAGTTTGGCCATGCAGAAGCAGAAGTATTTGCAGATGGTGATTTTTTTAAAAAAGGAAAGTGATTAAAACCATCTGATAAGATGGAACCTGAAGTGACAAGATAGGGCATCAGGGCATCTAGGGGAGGAAGGCTGAGTGGAACTGTGGGGATGAAGGCCTGAGTTATTGATTGAAATCCTCACGGGAGGTGAAGCCTTTGCTTTTTCTTATCTAGGGAAGGGAGAGGATGAATGGGAAGTGAGCAGAATTATTAAGCAGGCTTTATCATTGCACTGCAGTGGATAATTAGGCAATTAGGATTATTACAAGTTGCCTAAGCCTGAAGCCCTGAGGATTGTGCTCCTCGTTTCTGAGGGAAGAGCCCTGGGCAGGAGGTTTGAGGGTGCCTTATGGAGGGGTATAAAACCAAAGCTCCTGAAGAGCCTTCAGGGCTGAGGTGAGAACAAAAGGGAGTTCAGGAAACCTGAGCAGTGACCAAGAATTTAGTTTTAGGTAAGCATTGGTCTGAGCAGCAGCAAGAAATGAGATGAGGAGCAAAGGCCACTGAAGGKGATTGGGGGAAGCTGAAAGCTGGGTATAGGGACCCATTTTTTCTCATGGCAGGATGCCCAGTAGTGACTGCAAATGAAATCCTGTGTGTGCTTCCTGCAGAGCTCTGGCCTCGACCGATGTCCCCTGTCCTCACAGGTGACTTGGTTGTAACTGGGTGTACAGGGAGTGCTGAGAAATGCCGCCTTTCTGCCCTGCTGGGAATCATGCAGGCTCTTCACTCTCGGAGGAACTTCCAAGCTGAACTTGGAGGCAGCTTCCAAGCCGCTTCCCCTTTGATTCTCTGGTGTAAATTATAACTGAGCACCCTGTTTTTTGAGAGAAGCCTGCTGAGAAATTGGGCCTCTTGCCTCAGCTGGCTCRGTCTGTTCCTAAAGGGGATGCAAAGCTGTGCACGCGGTGGAAGGAAGAGGGACACAGGAACATGTGGTGAGAAGTACCATATTAGAGCAGGTTCCTCCCAGGAACATTTAACAACATTTCTTTAATCAGTGCCTTGGCTTCCTTGTGGCTGTGTGCACGTTTTCAAGGAGAAAGCTGAGGAAAGAGGACTAAAAATAGCCCAGTGCGTCTGTATCCGTCTGAATTCATCCAGGTTGGACTCGGATATTTCATCCGTCTGTGCAGTTCCAYGTTCCAGATGTGCTGGGCTGGTAATCTTAAGCTACGTGTTATTTAAAATGAAAATTGCCAACGTGCAGATGTTGTGTAAACCACAGAGGAGGCATCAGGTTCTGCCTGTCATTTGCAGAAGGGTCCTGCACCAGCCTAGCAGCTCCCAGGGAAAACTGGGGTTCAAAACAGGGCCATGGAAGAGAATTGGGGAGCGACTGATGCTGCAGGTTCCTTGTGTTAGTCACAGACTAGTCATTAAAATGCCAGGGACAGAATCCATCACTGCACGTGTTAGTCATTCCCAACCCCGAGGCTTTTGCGGCTCGTTCGGGACGTTCTGTGATCAGGGAAGGAATAAAAAGGATGTGATAAAAAATACATGGAATAGATTATTTGACACTAATTATTTGCTGGGTGTCATTGGCAAGGCACCCAGTGTTCTCCAAGAGAGCTTCATTTCTGTGAGAAAATCCCACCCACAGTGTTCTTCTTCCAGGATCAAGCTGAGCATATTAATTTCTTGAATAATGATGTCTAATTAGAGTCTGTGGTCCAGATCTAATTGATGGTGGCTCTTCAGCATAGATATCCATTCCAACTTGGAAAAAGATTACTGACTCCTGGTGTTGGGTTTGTGCCTGTGTGTAAATAAGTGGCACAACGAGTGCTCGGTTTTAATGACGTGATGATGGTTTGATGGGTCCTCACAAGGGCTACAACAGGTGGGTGCCTTTAGAAACGTTAAACCCCCTTCTCTCTCATGAGGTGCTTGGCTTCCTGGCAGAGATTTCTATGTGAGGACAGGCACCATAGGGAGCTTCGGAGGCTCCTGGTCCTTCCCGGGATGCTGGTGGCAGGTGACAAGAAGCCAAAAGCCACCTGGATGGTGTGTTGAAATGTGAGGAACTCCTCCTAAAATCAGATTTAMATGGCAACGGGACCTCRGAAACATAACACACCCTGATTTCCYTCTCCTAAACAGCAGTGTGGATGTGGACAGGTGAAGGGGTCAGTTTTCCTGTGGTTTGGGTGTATGGGAAGGTGTCTGACGTGCTCTGCTTGCTGAAAACAGTCAGTTTTAATAACAGGCAAGTGCATTGATAGCAAGTAAATGCTGTGGGTCCTGGCAGACAAACTGCTCCTGTTTTGTGGCGCAAAAGGGATTGAAGCCACTATCCGTGTTCTTTGAAAGCAGGTAGTGGGATATTATTAGATCATCCCCCCCGTGCAAATASCAGCCGCTGCACGGGAGCTGCCAGRRAAGCTCTGAAGTTAATTGCTGCTTGGGAGGCGCCGCCGCCGCTCGGCTGCGCCGAAGTGGGTCAGCTATTGATGAGATCACCAATGCCATGAAATTCTTATGAAAGATGTGTAAAAATAGCCTCCGTGCCTCGCTTGCTTCGGGGGCAGCTGCGCATCGCAGCGTCTTTAACCGTCTTTTACCGGCGCTGGTGCACGTAGGTGCGCATGGAGAGCATTGCCTCCGAACGCCTCCCGATCCTGTGGCTCTTGTTGGATAGCTGAGCGTGGCCACTCATCGTGGGGACCTGTAGTGAAGCACAGTTCAAAAATGAGAGCAATATTTGGGCTTTTAAGTGGAATTTTCCCCGGCAGCGATGTTGTCTGTTGTCTGAAACGGGTGACCCTGCGTGTTTGCTCTTTGTTGCTTCCCTCTTTTGGATGGTGCTGCATTGCTGATAAGCTAAAGGTGACTACTCAAGTCACGTCAGACTTGTTAAAATGTTGTTTAGTCCCTTCCAACCTTAAGCATTCTATGGTTCTAATTCAGTGATGCTGACAAGGTCTGAGTTGAGTCTGGTAATACCAACTGCTGCTACTGTCTGTATTTTATCTGAGACATGAAAAAACAATTTACGAAGGCGCTGAGGCTGCACCCCGTTCACTCACAGTAGCGTTTTTATTTCAGAATAAAAGCGTTTTTATTTCACTGAGAGGTGCACCTGTAGGTGCTGAAAAACAGACTCTAATACTGCTGACGAAAGCTTTGAAATGAGCTCCTGGAAGAAGGTACCTTTGGAAACCAGGTCTCAATCCGTAAAGGGGTGTGATGCACTTGGGACTTAGTCTGTCCTGGGCAAAATGAACTTTCAGAAAGACACTAAAGCATCTGAGCTTCCTGTCACACCTGYAGCATTATCGTGATGGAGAAACTGGGATCCATGGCCATGGCTTAAAATACTTTTGTTGAACCTTAATAAAAATAGCCTTTTGCCTCCTAGCTCTGGTAGGACATTCACTAAATGTCCTAGGAATTCACTAGGAATGTCCTAGCTCTGGTAGGACATTCACTAAAACAACAGCTGTATCTTAGAGGATGAGTGTTCGGCCTTCTGTGGCAATGCAGACAAACACAAAGTTGCCTGTGGAATTCATGAACCAAGCACCTACTGCTAATCATTTGCAGTTCTTTGAGATGAGCTTAATATTTCATCTCAAAATACATCGGGATGTTATTGAAGGCTTTTAATTCTGGAGCATCATATTTGAGAATGTAAAGAAGATGAGGCCAAACTCTTCTGGGTGGTGGCCAGTGSCAGGACAAGGGGCAGTGGGGACAAGGTGAAGCCCAGGCAGCTCCGTGTGGCCGTGAGGAAGAACTTGTTTGGTGTGAGGGTGCCCGAGCCCTGGCCCAGGCTGCCCGGGGAGGCTGCGGAGGCTCCTGCTCTGCAGATCTTCCCAAGGCGCCTGGATGCGCCCGGGTGCCCCGTGCTCCGGGTGTCCCTGCTGGAGCAGGGGCTGCTCTGGGGGATCCCTGGGGGTCCCTTCCAACCTCAGCCATTCTGGGATTCTGCGATATTTCTTTGGACCTACAATCACTGTTAGGAAGCCAGAGCCTCAGTGGCTCAGTGCCAACATACTTGGTTTGATAGTTTAGCACCTTCAGGGCTGTCCCCATCCTCAGATGTTACCTGGTGACTTCTGGCTTGCAATGAAGGGACTTCCAGGAGGCTGGATGGCCAAAAGCATGGGCCCAGAAGAGRGGAGCTAAAGGAGATTTTTGGGTTGAGGGCAGCTGCTGCGCGTAGCAGCTAGTGGGAGAAGAGGTCTTTAGGTACCAGTACAGGCTTATGCCTAAGAGAGGGAAGAGTAACTGTGTAGAAGAGGCAGGTGGAAGGAGACAGTGGTGTTRTTAGGTGTTTTCTCTCTCTCAAATGTGCCCAGTGTGTGTCCGAGAAGGACTGGATAAATATCAGCAACYTGAAACAATCTTTTTCATCATCTTCTTTTAATCTCATCACAAGGTGTGGATTACACAGGAGAAAAACAAGCTCCCTGGCTGCCCTGTTGCTTTTGCTCTCCTTCATGAATGAGAATTGAGGAGGTCTAATGAAAAACGTTAGAAGCTTGTCAAGTTAATTAGCGTCTGTTTTGATGCTATCATTATCATTTGTCCCTCATTAATACAACATATGTAGCGTGGTTACAGCTCATATTTTGTCTTATTTTTCAGTGAGAAGCTGGATGGAGAAGCTGAAAGATAAGGTAGGAGGCTCTGTGTTTCAATCATTTTAAAAGCAAAAACATTTTTACTCTGAGGAATAAATAACCTGTGCCAGTGTGGTTCGTTAGCTCTGCAAACACAGTTGTCAAGGGGCTTAAAATTCTCTTTGTGAGATAGTGAACCGCACAGATGCTGCTGTTTACTGGCAATGTGTATCTTGGTCTGAATCCGCAGTTCCTCCCTGACGGGTAGCTAAGAGCCAAACCAGGGACAGGGTTATTTAACAGACTTGTCTGGACTATAAAGCACCTTTTCTTTAGACCTTTTGAGTTACTTTTTATTTCCCTTGAACCTTTCTCCCCCTCTTGTCTCTGAGGTTTGGTTTTGGGTCCCTCCTGCAGCACACGGGGCAAGGCTGAGATACCAGGTCACTGCTCCTAAGCTCAACCCATCTGGCCACCACATGAAAGAGGAGCAACAAGTCTTGGAGATGTCCAAGTCTTGGAGATGTCCAAGTCTTGGAGATGCAAGGGGCAAGCACAGGAACACTGGAAGGATATCAGCCCCTCCTCCTCACCAGATGTTACCAGCCGGTGCTACATGGAATCAAGAGTTACACCTGCAAGGACAGAGACACTGCCCTGGGGCACATACTAACSTTTTGGAAAGGTGGTAAAACCTTCCAAATGTTGTGTCGGGGGCRGCAACGCAGTGAAAATAGGCAAGGGCTGACAGCAGGGCTGTTTTTAAGGCACAACATTTTGTGAGTCAGCAGGTTTGGAAGCTCTTGAACAGGAACAGAGCTAGCGCAGAAGAAAAACACATGGGATGATGAGTGGGTGGGAAACTCTCACCCCTGAAACGTATTGCAGAGCTTGAGCAGAGCGTCACCCAACAAACTCAGCCTTCCCAGGAGATGCCTGCCAACCCTCAGCAGAGCCAGGGCCACCAAACCTGGGTGGGTGATGGGCTCTGGCTCTCTGTCTGCAGCGGCTGGCCCCTCGCAGCCCCTGCTGAGCTGGTTTTCTGCCCGCGTAGGAAGGCGGCAGGTCTGGCGTGACTGGGGCTCGTAGCAGAGCAGCCTGGCYGGGCATCCAGCCAGGGCGAAGCCTGAGGGCCCAGGGAATGGCCTTGCCCATGGAGGTAAAATGCAGACGCCCCGGGCAGCCGCAATGTCACCTGTCTGTGTCACCTGTGAATCGCAGCACCACCACGGSCTGCAGCATGTGTCCTGCGGGCCCTGGTACCCCGCGACGCCGCAGCTCTCACCTCATTCCTCTGGGCATCTCTCCCTCGCTCCCGTGGCAGGTTTGGGTGCATGTTCCGGGCTCCAGCAGAGCTGCGCTTGGATAGGGATGGAAGTGGTGCTGGGCAGAGGGCTGCGCTGCAGTGCCCAGCAGCAGCCCCACTGCTGACTAAAGGCTGAGAGAGCTGGGCCTGTTCAGCCTGGAGAAGAGAAGGCTGAGCGGGGCTGAGGCTGATCAGTGTGTATAGATACCTCAAAGGAGGCAGTGAGGAGGATGGGGTGGCTTCTTTTCAGTGGTGGCCACCGATAGGACTAGAGGAAGCGGCCACAAACTGAAGCACCAAAAGTTCCACAGGAACTTAAGGAAAAAAATCTTGACAGTGAAGGTGCCAGAGCCCTGGCCCAGGCTGCCCAGAGAGGCTGTGGAGTCTCCTTCTCTGGAGATCTTCCAAACCCATTTGGACGCAGCCTGTGCCCCGTGCTCTAGGTGACCCTGCATGTGCAGGGGCTTGGACTGGATGATATCTAGAGGTCCCTTCCAACCKTAAGGATTCTGTGATTCTATGACCTCCTAACAGGGAGACTCCGCTCTGAGCTGCCGCCCTCCAAGGGGGATTGGTAGGTCCTCCCTCTTGCTCATTTATCTTAAAACAATCACTGTTTTCCATCAGAAAAGCCCAGCGAGTCTCCCTCACCCTCACCCACATAGTGATAAGGTCCCCACAAATAAACCTCCTCAGCCATTTTCCTCCTCTTCTTAAAGTTTATCAGCCCCATAAAGCATCATATCAGCTCCAAATAAGTTTATCAGCACCAATGTCTCTCTTTTCATGTGGTAGAGCCTGGTCATCCCTGTTTTAGAGTCTCCCTATCTACACCAGGATCCTACCTTGTGTGTGTCCTGCTCTCCCATCCCTGTGTGATGTCCCTCCTGTGTCCACCAGCCCAGGGATGCTGGGAGAGGGACCAGCACCGGGAAGGTGGAGCCAGGAGCAGGTGCCAGGGAGCTGATCCGTATCTGAATCAAACCCTGTGCAAGTCACACAGAGGGCAGAAAGGCTGGGATCACATTGCAAGCGTTTTGGGATACAGGTTGCCCAGCTGTCTGGGGAAGCCTTAGGAAGAGCATGGGTTGGCCCAGCATGATAAGGGCTCGCAGAGAGCCTAGAGGAGTCACCTTATGGAAAATAGTGATTTCTGAGAAGGAAACTCAGTTGGGCAGCACCTAGAAAGGCCCTTCCAAGCCCCCATCCCTGCCTGTGCCAGCAGCAAAATTCCTGAAACAGAAAAACCTGCCAGTGTGCTAATTAGGTGACCCAATTAAGGCATCTTAATTACCTCGAGGAGATGCAATCTTTGCTGTGTGCTCACTAACCTCCTTGCTAGGGACAGTGGATGCAGGTGGGCAGCGTGCCCCTGAGTACAACCGTGGAGCAGGACTTGTTTTTTGGGAGGGTGCCTGAACAAACAGGCAAGAGGGAGCTAAATACCTGCAGCCCCAGGGTGCAGTGATTTGAAAAACAAGCGTCCTAGAAGAAGGTTGTTAGCACCAAGCAGCCCTTGTTAGCCTTGACTTTATCCTAGATGGAAGCAGTTATTTTCCTGCTCTGAGTGAAGCCAGGGCAGTGCACATGGAAGGSATTTCTTTTTTTCCCAATGAGAGGATTGTGGAAATGAACTGCAGTGCAAGGCAGCGTGGTTGGGTTTTGGTGCAGCTTGGGAACGCTTGGAGCTCGCCTGCCTCTGCTGCACGTCCCTGAAGAGCAGCTGGAGCTGCGACTGCCCTCCCTCCTCTGCGCCGTCCTGCTCCCCGAGCAGGGCATGAGCAGGGTGCAGCCACGCCAAGCAAAACCCTCTGGCTCCARGATTTCGAGGGCAAAGCCAAAAAGGGTCGGCCTGGCTGCGCAGGGCTAGACTTGCTCTTCATCCCACAGCACGTGGGCATTTTGCATTTCAGCTCTTTCAGAAACCCGTTTGTAGGTGCTGGAAATAGAGGGGTGGCACCCGTGCCCCGAAGCACTTGCTGTCCCGTGCCAAGGTGTCACCGTTGGGGGAGCATGGGAGCTCTGTAAGGCTCCTCGCCCAGGGTGTTTAACAGTTGGGTTGTGGTAGGACACGTTTTAGGATTCAGAGCCAGCTACAAACACGGCTGGTTCGGATTCATAGCAGAGGGAAACAGCAGCTCTCGGCCAGCGGCCCTCTGGATGGAGCCCTGTGGTCACACGCACATCTGTGGCTTGTTGCAGCACTCGGCCTGTTTTAYACCGCATGCAGCAAAGCTCTTGGAGCGTTTAGAGGTTCTGCTTGTGGCCTGCAGCAGGTGGTGGGGCTTTCCCTGTGCACCTGCACGCTTGTTAAAACAGCCACTTCACCCTGCACCCACATCCTTCCCTTCCCAGACATGGGCACTGCCTCGCCTATGGTAAGGAAGTGCCTGTGAGCAAAGCCAGTGGTTAGTGAATGGCCTGGGAGGCCGGTGAGTCACTCAGACTCCAGCCTCCAATGGTCCTAAAAACCCAAAGGGTCAGTTCAGCTCTGGCCCCGGCAGGTGAACCTCACCAGAGTCTTTTGTTCACATTGATCTTGGTTTTCAGCTGGAGATTTTAATAGGATGTGAATCTTCAAAGCCTTGGTTTGGAAGCTGTGGAGGTTTTGTTTATTGTCCTTAAGCCTCTGTGACCACTGTGCAGCACGTGGTCCTGATGCCTCCCTAGACAAGACATCATAAAATRGGATCAAAAGAATATTAAAATAAATTGTATTCACTAAAAAAACTGATGTGAGAGCAGATTATTCCCCATATATCAAACTGGAATGAGAATTCCCCRTGTCCTGGAATTTCTGTATAAAACGGAGACTGATAAAGTGCAGATCTGCTTTGAAAACTTCCCATTTTTTTGTTTGTTTTTTAGGGATCCTGTACTTTGGTTTCATCTTCTGATGGTGATAAGGACCCAAATACAGTAAACTCAAAGGAAAGCAGCATAGGGAGATATCACAGTCCTGGGCTAGGAAAGAGCAACCCTGAACGGACGGTTGTGTGAGTGACGTGTCTCTTTTCCATGCAGGCAGGATACATGTCGGGAATGCTGGTTCCTGTAGGAGTGGGGATAGCCGGAGCCCTCTTCATCCTAGGAGCACTCTACAGCATTAAGATCATGAATCGCCGAAGGAGAAATGGCTCCAAGAGGCACAAAAGAAAGGTAGGGCAGCWGGAAGGGAGAATGCCCCACCTGTCCCTGTAACAGTTTGGGTTATAAACCCAAAAGTAAACGCGGTCTTGTTGTGGGGAAGGGATGAGATGTGTGGGATTGCAGCTCTAGGGGAGGGAGCTGGATGCTGTTCGTTTTCCTTTCGCATTCGGAGCTCCTCACTCTCTCTTTTCTTCCCCTATAGCAGAGGGAATTTAACAGCATGCAGGACCGAGTAATGCTCTTAGCTGACAGCTCAGAAGATGAATTCTGAGCCCAACTGCGGAGCCGCTGCGAGACCCAGTGACTTTGGAAGCACAGGAGGGGGAGAAGACCAACAAGGAGGAGTTTCTGCTGCATTGCTGCTCCCAGCCGCGCGGCGCCAGCGGGCAGGGGCCGGCGCCACGGCATGCTCTAACCCACATGTAATGCGCAGTGATGTTTGTTTTGATACACTAGTGAGATTTCTCATTCACACCGGCACCTCATGCAGATCCACGGCACATGCTGTTCCAGCTGGAGCTGAGGCATAGGGAGGGGTATTTGCCTGTTATCCTGGTATACTCTTTTCGTCCTGGCTGGCAGTAAGCTGATTGTAACGATAGCTCTCACCCTAATCGGCGAATGGAAATTTTTACTGTGGATGACTCTGTCCAATTTGTTGTTTTTTAAATGTTACATTACCTGAGCTAGAGTTCATTAGTGCTAAAATTAGCTGCTCTGCTTAATGAATGAGTTATATACTTCAACTATATCCCTTGTCAACTGAGAAGTGCCCAAGTACAGTGTCGTTGATACAGTTTGAAACATATTTCTACACTCTTTAACCCAATATCTCACCCGTTCTTCCCCCAAACTCCCTTCAGCTCTGCTCCACGCTTCTCGGAAACACATGGGAATGGCTTCAACACCTGATTCACAACAAAAACCTTAGTCCATTTTCAACCAGCACTGTCCATTACAGCACAATAAATACCAGCACACACGTAGCAATGGGTAGTCTTACATGGATCTCTTGGCTTTTGTTTGGTGTGCAAATAGGTGACCGAAAAGGCAGGTTTGACTTTGACTCATGTCTGAAGGCACAAGTGACTTTTTCACCTCTTCCACAAGGCTGCATTCACAGAGAGGTGAAAGCAAAGTGTCCATCTCCTTTCCCGACTGGTAACTGCCAGTTATTACCAATCTCTGGAAGCTTCATGAACGGCACCATCCTTGGGAGATCTGATGGTATCAGGTCCCATTTCTGCACAACCAAATGCAGAAGGACCATGAAGCCTGCAGAGCTGGGGGCTGCCAGTGTTGAAGGCTTCAGGGCTAGTAGGAGGATAGTTGTAATTGGGCATCAGCCACAGCTGGAGTGGTGATCCACAGCTGCAAGATGGTCAGGTTGGGGAGTATCTGGCCAAAGGGGAAGGGTGATGAAGCTGTAGGGCAGGCAGCCTCATAGGCCTGGGGAGATTGCCCTCCAAGGTAAGACTAGAGGCCACATGGGGTGAGGGCAGCACGTTGCAGGGAGGGAGAACTGGGGGCTGAGATGGGACTAATCAAGCAGGGTGATTAGGGTAGCTGTGCACAGAAATGCTGTAAAAATAGCTAGAAAAAGGGTTGTGTTACTGTGTCTCTGTTTCACATTGTGAAATGACTCTTTAGTCTTACAGTTAAACATACGTGTTTCCAGAGCAGGGTTGCTCTGCATGCGGCTGAATGATACCCGAGCTGATGCTGGGAAGCAGGAGCTGCCGGAGCTGGAGCAGAACAGAGCAGATGGAGCAGCAGGAGCCAGGCAGCTGAGGAGCAGCAGGGATTGGTGCCGTGACAGCCAGTGAGGGATGCTCTTCTCTGGTTTCCCTGTTCATGGTGATGTGGTCACACATGGTTGGTGAAAGCTGCACAAGCTGCATTAAGTAATGGGTGAAACACATGGCTCCTGGGCAGGGGCGAGGAGGAGGGACCAGGTCTGAACACAAACGCTGCAGCTCTGCAGCGCRGGAGAGCTGGGAGATCGGCTGTCGGCTTGGTGGAGCGGGAAGGGGCAATGGGTATAATTYGAAAMACAGGAAGTCCCATCTCTATATGAGGAAGAACTTCTTCACTGTGAGGATGACAGAGCCCTGGAACAGGCTGCCCAGTAAGATTGTGGAGTTTCCTTCTCTGGAGATCTTCCAAAGCCTCCGGATACCACCCTGTGCTCTGGGTGTCGCTGCTGGAGTAGGGGGCTGGACTAGATGATCTCTGCAGGTCCCTTCCAACCTCAACCATTCTGTGATTCTGTGAGGGAGCTGCTTTGGCCTTTGGTTGCGCTAATGAAAGCTGGGTACGGGGACACCGCCTTCGCTCGGACACAGCCAGTATCACAGTCTCTCATTTTCCCCAATGTAATGAGCTTCATCAGAAGCTGAAGGGAAGGCTTGGGTGAAAGTGGGGCTGCTCCCAGGTTTGTTATCCTGATGGGCTGTGATGCTTTAGTGGGACGTAGTGGCCAGCAGAAGCTGTTGTGTGTCCTGATCAAGAAGTGTCTCTTGGTTGAGGAGATGCTGTAAGAGGAGGGTCCCAGTGCCAGAACACTGAGTGAGGAAACACCAAGCTCACACGTAGGGACATACAGGGAGATCTGGGCTCTGTTGCTATCACAGTATCCCAATTAATTGAGCCATCACTGGTCCTGAAGATCCCACAGCGGGCAGTGGTTTCCATGCCCTTCGAGCAAACCAGGAGCTCTAGAGGCCTTTCTTTAATGGCTATTCCCAGCCCCAGAACCTGGAGTCTCCCCGATCTTGCAGTTCAGCGTTGAGTGGCTGCRAGAGGGACAGCCCAACTGCTCCTTAGAGTCCAGTGAATCCACAAGGAGCCCTCAGGACCCTGGTGGTGAAGGGGCTGCGGCTCCTGAAGCCAAGTCCCTCAGGGCTGTGGCTTCCACAGCGGCTTCCCCATCCACCTCACRCGCTACCCCTGCCATGTAGCCCTTGGCTGAGTGAAAACAGAGGGAAGTAAAAGCTGTCCATTGTACCTGGCTCCGAGCCTCGTCTCCCTGGGCTCCGTTGGGGACGGGGCTGTGGTAAAGCGACGGCTCGAGGGTCACCATTCCCCTCGTCGCACTGCGCGATGGCTCCACAGGCCACGAGGGCCGTGTGGGGCTGGGAAGGAGGTGCTTGGGAAGCTCTTTGGCACCTCAATGCTTCTCTCCATGGAAAAAACAKGAAAAGAATTTTAAACGGTCCTAATCACATGCCGAGGTGCTAGGCTGTGGAGAGCCCACAGGGTTATCAAGGCCCTGGGTGTCCTGTGCCATCCTCCAGCCTGGATGCGCCAGTGGGCACCAAGGCACAAGGTCGCCCTGTCCGGACCTCGGCCCAATGTGGTTACGTCGTGTTGAGAAAAAAAAACCTGCAAAAAAATGTGGCCTCCTTTGTAGAAATGGGTATTCAGAAATACATCACAGATTTCTGTAGGAGAAGCGAAGCCCTCAGCAATGAAACCATTTGCCAGTGTCGGGAGATAATGGAGATATGGGGTGTTGTCACTAAAATGTTGAAATTGCTAGTGTTAGTCACATTGGAAGTCAGAAAGCTGAAAAAAACCTTTATTTTGAGTAACACATTGAGCTATTTTTTTGTTTTTGAGTTATTTTCTAAGGTTCCTTCCGACTGGCCCATGTGCCCTCTAAAACTTGTCAATCTGTCTCTGCAGACTGCCTGTCCCTGGAGCTGGGCTTTTCCCTCCCCAGAACATAGTCTGCATTTATTTAAGCCATTAATAGGGCTTCCAATATATGCAGGGCTTCCAATATATTTTTTTCAGATTATTTAAGTCTTGCATTTATATATACATATATAAATATATATATATATAAAAACCCCAAAACAACCAACCAACCAAAATCACCAGATACATCCTAATCTCCTGGCTGCTTGGTTTTCCTTCTCATCCCACTCTAGTTAAATTTTGCTTGGATAACGACTGACATTCAGCCAAAAGGCCCAGAACTGGAAATCTTTTGTTAGCCAAAGTGGCTGCTGGAGCRGGAAGGGAAGACTCTGCCCTGGGAAGCCGAGTGACCGGTGCCACTTGGCCTTGGGGGATGATGGTGAGACCGGAGGTGCCATCCTCACGTCGGCAATGAGGATARATAACAGGTTGCTGTGGCTGGGCACGAAGGACGAGCAGAGAGAAGATYGATGAAGCTGCAACCGTGGCTGAAGAGAACTGTATAAGAAATAAAAATGGATTTAAACTGAAAAGAAGTGGGGCAGTAAAATGCATCATTGAATCAGGACTCAAATGAAAGCCGTGCAGGGCTCTAGTGCCAGGTCCATAAAGGTTATTTATGGAGACGAGTGGCAGGTCTCGGGCTCTGCAGGACCATGCCTTTAGCTGGATTGCAGTGAAAACGGGGGTCCCAAATCACCAGTGCTCACGGGAGCAGTGCAGTGGGCCCAGGTTGGCCAGGGGGTCCAAAATCACCAGTGCTCAGGTTTGAAGCTACTTGGACGTCCTTGTGGTGCCACCCTTGCATTCGGTGCTGATGGGACACACTCAGCAGCATCCACTCTGCCCCTCAGAAAGTGCAGGGTGTGATGGCCAGGCCCCCAGGGTTCAGATCTGCCCCTCCAATATATTGAAGTGTCCAATGAGTAAATGGAGCAGGGGTTATTTTTCCCCCCACTAAAGCTAATAACTGGCTCATCWCTGGGAGCGGGAGGTGCAGAAAGCAGCACCCTCAGCCCTACATTCCCATCTGACATTTCCTCCCTTTAAAGGAGCGAGAGAAATAGATGATACCTGGGCTTARCAGAGCCAGTCATAATTTCTCCAAGACCTTTGGCACATCTGGCTCCACTCAGTGGGTCTTCTAGCGTGGAGAGAGCAATTTTTTCTCTTTAGCCTTTGGTACAGTAAGCGGGGGGGGCRGTAATTGGAGCCTTGATGCTGCAGCAGCTTCCTGGCAGCCTCAGCCCTTGAGCCCTGCTCAAGTATTGCAGTGTTCAAGGGGGAGCTACAATTACTGCCTGTTGCCCTGAGTGATGATTTGTCTTGTAGCCACATGGAAGCAAAATATCTCCGATCCATTTTCTTTTTTTTTTTTTTTTTTTTTTTTTCCCCTCTATGTGATCAGGATGTGCCATATCTCAAAGTGACTTTGTGCTCTTATCCTTCAAGGAAAACTTTTGATTACTCTGCCCTTTGAGAGAGCAGCTCTGACGTGAAGGGACCTGCTGATGTCTTGAGGAGCAGGATGCGGAGCTGGCACCTCGGCACGATCCATTTAGGTGGCCCTTGGGACCAGGGAACGGCGACAGGCCCGGGCTGCAGCATCGTCCCAGCACAACACATCTCCAACCGCACTAATCCTCGGGAGAGAGCCGAGCTCTTTCAAACTTCCCTTTTTGCTCTTTCCTTTCATAAAACATAATAGCACATGAGAGGCGTAGGCTGCGTGAGACGCTCTCCTCGCCAGCGGCAGCTCCAGCGACGGGGAGGCTCCAGCTTCTGATGCCTCTTTGTCTGATCCTCCCCTCCAACTCCCCGTCTCCATCCTTTTGTTTCTCCACCTGGATCCCTGCTTCGTGGTGGRTGCTGCAGCTCTGCAGCCCTCAGGTCTCGGGGCAGCAGCGGGTAGTGGCCACAGGTGTCCTGTGATTCCCCTTCATGCAGTGGATTTGGGTGGAAATACAGATGTGGAAGTGAACCTAGAGGTGGTCTCTGGGAGCAGGGCTTGGGTGCAGGGCTYGGACAATTCTTGTCCTTCTCCATCACAGCATGTTGAGGCCTGCATGGTGCCTTGGTATATTAGTCACCAGGGAACGTTCTTCACTTCAGTGGAAGAAAAAAGTTTAAGTTTCTCTGAGCAATCCCTTCCCYCTAATAATTTCATTCATCCCTTGAAGGAGGGCTAAACAGAAGAACTTCATCCAGGGCCCAGCATCCAAATATTGCT